GCTGACACTCTTATGGAAATGGTCTCACTACATAGTTGTTGAATGAAGTGGGTAACTCAGTTTCCCCTCCTTGGGTTAGTTTCCCTCATCTGTAAAATGAGGGGTTTGGTCTACACTGGAAGTTAATTACCATAGTTCAAGTCTCAACCTGCGCTGTCACTGATGAACTATGTGAACCTGTAGTCCTTTCTTATCTCTAGGCCTTAGTTTCCTCACTTCAATTTAATGCAGAGTATAGACCTGGGAGACTCAAAGTTTACTCCCAGCTTTGTCACTGTTGTATGTCTCTTCTGCTTCACAGTCGATGTCTTTGTTGGTGCCTGGCTATGTAATCCAGGTATACCAGTCCCTTCAGGTTCCCCCATCAGTAATAAGGGAGAGGAAAGGGGTCTTGAAATGGATTATTTCTAGGTCTTTGCTCATTTTCAACATTGCATATTTATAACACAGTGGTGGCTTTGGCAGGGCCTCTACTCCAACTCAGCCACCCACCATGTTTTCATTTTGTGAAGTAACCACTTTTCCACTTCAGAGCTTCTTTAAAGATCCAATCCTGAACAGTCCACCCAACTTCAAACCCCTATGGATCTCACAGAAAGTATAGACCCTGGCATAAATTTGATTTGAAATGAGATTTCAGTTCTGAAACCAAACTTCCTGCTGTTAGCCAGCTTAAAACCATTTCACCCTTGTAGGCAACATACATACCGAAGCTAGATTTTTAGTTATTTATTTTGTTCCAAACTTTTTTTGGATTTAATGTGTCAGGTTTCAAGCTCCCAAATTTTGTTCATTCTTCTAGATTTGACTATGGATTCATCCTACCCTAAACATTAATACTATGCTGTTTTCACCAACCAACATTCTCTCCATAAGCACACAAGCCCACACATGCACATGCACATGTGTGGAAGAATTGACACCCTACAATGTTATGTGACACCTGATAAGGTAGATTTTTGATCTGTGAATGACATTCCTTCCTCTGGAGAGAAGTGAGTGGTAGCCAGATTCTTAAGATCTCTTCACACCAGGTGCAACAAAGGAGACCCTGCAGAACTGCCCACAAGTGATTTGGTGTTGGGAGGGGCAGGGAGGAATGGAAGCAGGGACTTTGTTGATCCAACATTTTCAGTGGTCTCTCCTCCTGTGCCACTGCTGTTTGAACTGATAGGATAGTAATTAAGCCCCTTCCTACCCACAGAGCCAAGAAACCAGTGTGTTTTCCTTTGAGTAATTGATAAGAGCTGAACCGGGACCAGTGGAAGGGGATCAAGGCATTGAGGCCATCATAAGCCAACAATGCCCCAGCTGCCTATTTTTAATGGAAAAACTCATGGGTAGGGGTCACTGTCTTCTTGGGAGCCCCCAAACAGCAATCTCATCCTCCTGGCCCTGGCTTGAGGTGGCAAGTTACTGTTAGCTCCAAGTGACAGTCAAAGATGCCTTGCAAGAAGATGAGAAAAAGTTTAGGTAATAGGGACACAACAGACCAAGGCCCAGAATTGGGAGAAAGAGATACAGAGGCTGAGTGAGGAGAGAGGTTGAACTCCTAATGAGGTGAGTTGTGAATGCTCCTCAGCAAGACTGTTGCACAGTCTGAGTATAGGGAATCATCTGGCACCTATTTTAGAGGGGTAAATGTAGTCCAGAGTTAACCTTTCCTAGCAACTTTAATGTCCACTAATCAGAGTGGCCCAGTATGCACAGCATGAGGGACACATTGGTTGGTAAAGGCTAGTAAGGTTTCAATTTCTTAAAAGAAACTGTTCAACCCTTTGTGTAGCTGCTGCCTCTACCTTTTGGGGATCCAGGTTAGGAATTGGATTTTTCCCAAAACATTCCCATTCCTGGCCTAGCCGAGGTGGAAATATAGATCTGTCATGAATAATGATAGAAGAGATGGTACTTCAGCAAGTTGAGTTGCCTCTCCCCAGGCCTCCTCTGACTGCTGAGAGGAAAGGGATTGCTTCACACTTTGACAGATAAAAGGATGGGGAGCTTGGGAAGGCCTGCAGGTTAAGCACTGGCTTGGGAAATCTATAAAAATCAGTGAGTGTTGTTTAAGGCCCCTTCCCTATGTGATATTCTACTCTTCCAGTCTATGATTATAGCAGCTTGACCCAAAAGGTGAGGTGTGGCTCAGCATGAGATGAGTGTGACTGATGCTACTATTAGGGAGGGGCTAGACCAAGGTAAGGCTGATTGGCTCAAGCTCTGGGTCCCTTCTTTCTTTAAGCACCTGTGTGTCTATGACAGCCATAAAAAGAAATAGAGAAAAAAGAAAAATGAGGAGCAAGTATAGGGGAAAGAAGGAAAAAGGGAAGAAGGAATCAGACTGTAACCAACCAGATGATGGGGAAACTATCTGTACACTTTTAAACTAACAGCACCCACAGTTCTTGGGAAGTCATAGACTCTGAGGCTAAATAAGGCTTGTTGCTCCATTTTACTCTCTGCCCTTCCTCCAGCCCCCTTCACCAGCAGCTTCTAAGGTCAGATGGCAAGAAGCTCCTCAGCACACAGAGGCATGGGTCTTCCCACCAGGCTCCTGGGGACACAATAGCACCTTTTAGAGTTGCTTCTAGTGGATGACTAACAGGCTTGGGCCAAGAGATCCCATACCCCCCACCCCCAAGTGTTAGAAGATATAGGGAGAGGTTCCAAAAGCCAGGGGGGTGATCCCAAGCTTTACTAGATCATTGAAGGAGAAGAACCCTGGCAAGTTTAAAGGCGTTCATGAAGAGAATTTGATTAATGAGTTTGGAACACCTGGAACTTTAGCTCCAAAGGGATGGTCAGGTGGCTGAAATGCAGTGTGCACAAGGTTTGGGAACAAGTGTGCTGGTGGCAAAAATGTAAATGCTGAGCAGTGTGGGGTGAAGGAAAGGGGTTGGAGAGGATCACACAGTCACAAGCAATTGGCATTAGATTGGTTCCTCAGGGGTGGGAGAGCCCGGTAGCACCGCCCCACTGGGGTCTGGGTCAGGGGCCAACATCTTGTCCTTGCTGGAATCCCTTTGCTCTTCCTTGAACATCCTTTGATGCATCAGAGGGACAAAGAAGAGGATTACAGCTCCAATTATTGGGGGCACACCAGCAAAGTAGAAGGCCACATGGTAGTCCCCAAAACAGTTTCGGAGGAGGCCTGAAACAGTTAAGAGAGAAAAGTCAAGCTCAGCTTTGCCCTACTGCCCAAAGTTGTTCTCTATCTCTTCTAAGGGCCATAATGATACCTATCTAGAGAATTTTGACCTGAACTACCTTGACTCAAGGAATACTTCAACTTGTAAGAAATTAACCTCTATTACAAAAGCAGGTGACTCCTCTGAGGTACTGGAACTGCAGGTCCTTGAGGCTAGGGGTCATTATGAAAGAAGCTAATGAAACTTATCTTAAAGTTCTCCATATGTGACTTTCATTAAGCTACAGCTACCTTCTAGTAACTCTCAGGTATGGAGTTAATTTAAAAGAGGAAAGCTAATTTAAAAGAACTCCACAGAATATGGTCAAGTCTTGTCTTGGTTCTCAGTGATATAACCTCCCATCCCCAACTTGGGCTAGAATATTCTTGTGGAACAATTCAGCGAAGTTTCTATTTGTCCTTTCTCTTAAGTTTCCTTTTGCCCAAAGAGGAAGGTCTATGTGTATCCTTCCTTCAAGATTCAGATATGGTTGGTCCCTCTGGGTTCCTCTAATTATGAATACTATGGATGTGTTTGGCATGGGATGCTAGGCTTCTCTGCTCACCTTCAGAAACTAATGTGAGCCACCACATAGGAGGAATGAGTCCAGAAACACTACTGAATAAAGACAAGTAGTCTCTTGGTCTCCTTAGGAGGTAAGCAAACTAGAAAGAGATGTGGATTCTGGGACCTATCTTTGGGATCAGGGGCTGGGTAGAGACTCCCATCGCTCAGTGGGCAGTATGGCTGTGACACAAAGGCCTGACTGGAAGCTTTGCCACTGTTATGCAGCATGACCAGTAACCTTAAGATATCTTGCACAGAATTTGTGTTCAACGAATATTTGTTGAGTTATCCCAGTTGGCTAGCCTAGGAAAAGCTAGCCCATTAATTAATATTTTCCGTAAATCCTAAAGAAAGGAAATAAAGTTCTTTTTTCATTGGTTTTCCTTGTTTCCTATATTTTCTGGGGTACCAACAATGCCATCTTAGAGAGTGGAGAAACTGGGAGTTATGAAAGATAGAAAGCCAACGCTTTGCCTGCTGCCTTCTGGAAGTGACCCTCACTAGCCCAGTCCTGGGATGCTACCTTAATCAAATATCTTCTATAGGCTCAGTTCAGAAGCCAACAGAGGAGAAGAGGGCTGTCTTTAAGTCTTGATAAAATTAGGGCCCACCTTCTCTTTTCTTCCTGCCTAGCTACCTTGCAAATAATTACTTGCCTGTGAAGAAAAACAAGTATACTAGATCAATAGATGGTCAAGAAGGACAAACCCATTTCTCTCTTTAGCATCTTGGAAACATCCATGCTGTCTACAATATAACTCCACTGAAACAGATATACAGTCATGAAAAGTTTATTACCCAAAATGAATTAATGCATATATACTGTGCTTAGTTTCTTTCACCAATAGTGGTATGGGGTTTTATGCACTCTGACAAGGCTGCTAAAACAGAGACTAAGAGGAAGGGAAATTTAAGTAGAAGTATTCAGGAAAGCAATGACCCAGGGAAGACAGGACTCCCCTACTCATACCCTTCTTTTAATATCAGCCTCACCTGCAATGGGGGGCCCAGCAATCATTGGCAGGGCCATCATGCCCAGGAGGTAGCCAATAGCCTGCGAGGCCTGCATTGGGCCCACCAGTTCAAATGCGATGGGGGCCATGATGGTGATGAAGAAGCCATCGCAAAGGCCCAGGAAAAGGCAGACAACGATGAGGCCTCCGAAGCCCCTGCACAGGGGAATCATCATGGACATCAGGCCCAAGAGCAGGAAGGAGATGACCTAGAGAAGCAAGGGCCTGAGGTCGGTCATGTTATGCTTGCCATTCAAGACCACATAGCAAATCACACCTTTTTCAGAGCTTCATTCCTACCATTTAAAAAATGGGGCAGCAGGGTGTCAACAGAGAGAGCAGTTGGACTAAATAGTTACTTATGCCCTTTCTAAGTCCTACATTAAAAGATTCAAAGTTTTTAAGAGAGCTCCTATTTAATTGCAAGTCTATGATGTTGCTGTCAATAAGGTTGTTAGCTTCATGAGTTGGTTTTTAGAGAGGATAAGAAATGTCCTGGCCATGCCATCTGAGGAAATCTCCTGGTTGGGGGACTGTGGAACTTTTCCCAGACTGTTTTCGCAATATTTAGGCAGAATCTAGGAATGAGAAACCAGATATCCCAGCTTCTTCTCTAGTAGATTCATGAACAACTATAAGATAAAACTAGACCTACCTATCAATATATAAGCCATAATGGTATGGCAATTAAGAGTAAGTACCATTATATAACACAAAAGACCCAATTAACTTATTTTATTCTGCTTTAATTGCTATCTACTATATCTATCTGCCTCCTAACATCCTCAATGAGGCCCTGCCAAACAAGGTTTGGAAATTAAAAATCTCTCTTGGAACTGAGAATCAGCCCCCAACAATTGGCTCAAAGTGAAGCTGATCTGCAAGTTGTCAGCCTTTCCTTTCCAACAGACTGCCCAGGGACTTGACACCAGACACATGTACCAGTCTTCTCCAAAAGTAGGAACCATAGGGTCTAGACCAGTGGTTCTCAACCTTCTGGCCCTTTAAATACAGTTCCTCATGCTGTGACCCAACCATAAAATTATTTTCGTTGCTACTTCATAACTGTAATGTT